GACGTGGCTGCTAGAATTCGGTTAGTGAGCAAGTCTAAGATCAATCAGTATGTTTTTATTTAAAACTTAACGTGGCTCAGAACTATGTCAGTGTGATGTAAAAGAAGAAAAATACATTGTTCTTGCTCCTGAAGGGCTAATACTATATGGGAAGGTAAGACAGACATATGGGAAACAATGTTCATATTCTAGACTGTGTAGTACAGACTAATAATGCTACAGTACATTACTGAATGAAATGCTGTCATTAATGCTTCCTTTGGAGCTAAGACTCAAAGTATATAACATTTGGAGATTTGGGGAAGTTTGGGTAGAACAGTGAGAATAAAAGAATGAAGATGTAGATGATCCTGTTTGCCCTAAAGGTTAGTCTAGAGAGTTTATGCTGGATATTAGAGAGATAAGGCTTTTATCGAGGATCTTGCTAGTCAGGTTAAAGAGCCACTCCCTGATACGCACCAGGGAGCCGCTGTAAATACTTTTAAGAAGCTGGGGTTTGGTGCTGAAATACTTGTTTCAGGCTGTTTCGGAGTGTGGTTCTGATTTAAGCTGTTAGGTTATTTTGAGAAATAGTGAATTCTTTTAAGCTAAAGCCTTAGGCATTTTATTTATTTACCTATTTATTTTTCAAAAATTGTTCTTGTTTTTTTTCTTTTTTTTTTCTTCTTTTTAAGCCTTAGCCATTTTAGAAGTGAGTTGAGTGAAACGGTTAAGTAGCACCATATAAGTTTCACTATTGATTTATTTAAAATATCCTCTGTATTCTAGATTTCAGAAATACAGAGGCCTCAAGAGCTTCCGGACATCTCCATGGGATCCTAAGGAAAACCTCCCTCAAGATTATGCTCGGATCTTTCAGTTTCAGAACTTTATTAATACTAGGAGACGCATCTTTAAAGAGATTGAAGAAAAAGAGGTTGAAGGAGCTGAGGTATCTGCCTTCCTTTGTGCATCCCTATAATTCGTTTTTGTTTGCCAAGGTGCCCCCTCTACTCCTTCTGTTGGCATGAGTACCTTAATTAGTTTTGCGCTGCCTACAGCTGAATTAGAGGAGCTGCTGAGTCATTGGTAAGAGTGATATTGGGAACAAAGAGGTATCAGATATTAGCTGAAAAAGCTTAATCAAGGTAGTTGAGGCATCTGTGAAGGGCCGTCTTGAAGGCTGAGGATTGGCTTTATGGTAGTCTGAGAGACTTTTTAACATATTTGGAGAAATGCTTCATCATTGTTGAGACCTTAAGGGTAATTGCATGATTGTTTTCTGCTTTCTTCTGGCAGGTTGGCTGGTATGTCACACTTCATGTCTCTGAAGTCCCTGTCTCAGTGGTTGAGCACTTCAAGCGAGGTGCACCCTTGATTGCATTTTCTTTACTACCTCATGAACAGAAGGTGAGTTAGCGTCCTGTGGGAAACGGGAGTTATGACACTTTCCAACCAGTTTTGTCTGGCAGTCTGAAGCTTTACGTGACTGACGTTTTGCTCATTGGGACGCAAAAGTCTGCCTTTGTGATTAGAAGTCAGAGAGGAGGACAGAGAAGTCGATGATGGTTTTACCCAACATGTCTGAACCTGTCTGATACATCTTAGTGACGTGATCTCTGTGTGGTTCTGAGACTTCTCTGAGAGAAGTACGTTTGTCAGGTCACACTTTAACAAAGGGTTGGCATCCATGAAAATAAACAGGGTTCCTGACAAGGTATAGATCTTTTTTCTCTTGATGGCCAGCAGTCATGTAGGTTGTGGTATATGTGAGAGCTCTGGCCTTTTGGTCACTGTGAGTAAGGGTTGAGGCAAGAAGGGTCTTGAATGAGTGTGGTTTAGAGGTGTGTGGTGAGTGAGTGACTTGTAGGCACTGATTTTGTGGCAGATGTTGAGCTCTTGCACGTTAGACATGGGAAGGTCACCTAGTGTAGCAGGGACATGAGAGCTCTGAACACCAGCATATTTTCGATTTGAATGCCAGTTGTTGGTGAAGGTAAAAGGTGAATTTGTGTCTCTTCATCTACACTCCACCATAAATTAGTACTGTCAGTTCTTAGAGTGAATCTAATCTGCTGGTTTGGTTTGCCTTCTTGCGGATTAGGCTGTTCTATTCCTGATATGAAGTTCTGTTCTCCTATTTGGTCCCCAGATGTCAGTACTTAATATGGTGGTGAGCCGGCACGCTGGCAGCACTGAACCTGTGAAAGCTAAAGAGGAGCTGATCTTCCACTGTGGATTCAGGCGCTTCCGAGCCTCACCTTTATTCTCTCAGCACACTGCAGGTAAGCAGTAGGGAAGCTTCTGGGTTCTTGTCCATCTTGCTGTCTTTTAGGGGACTGAGATTTGGGGAGAGATGCAGAATACACCATTTCAAACTCTCAGTCTCTGGGTTAGAGGTATTTTCAGTACTCTGGTTTAGGAGCCAATGATGTTTCCATTCAAAGTGTCTGAACCTGTCTGAAGCATCCCAGTGATGCAACCTCTGTGTGGTGCTGAGGCTTCTCTGCCATGAGTATTTGCTGCAGAGGAGGTTTTGGATAGGAGTTGGCTGCTTCCTAGAGATGATGTGTCATGGAACCCTTGGCATCCGTTGTGCCAGTGGCCGTGTGGGTGAAGCCTAGGGGTGCCCTCAGTTGGATAAAGCAGAGTGTGTGGCTTCTGAGATGTTGAGACTGCATGAGAATTTAGAGAGTGGTGACCAGGAATACTTTTATGACAAAAAATGATTGTGCTCTTACGTACTAGGAGCGGGAAGATGTTTGCATTAACTTGGGGGCTTCTGAACATTACCTACACTCTCAGCTCTCAGCAATGACCGGAGGAAGGGGATAAAGGCAGCATTGATGGATGCTCTGGATAATTCTTTTCTCACCAGCCATGCTCTCTAAATGAAGGAGTGATTTCTCTTTCCCTTAAAATATTTTGTTTCCCTATAACATTCAGTATTAAAAAGGGTTAATACTGTATTAAAAAGGGTTTCTGTTGAAGGTAAAGACAAGATCTAGATAGTCCCCAAGAAGAGATTAGTAAAGTTTGGCCCTTGGCCAAATCTGTCCCACTGCTTGTTTTGTTAAGTAAAGTTTTGTTGGAACACAGTTGTGCTTTCTTTTTTTTTTTTTTTTTTTTTAGGGAATTCCTTTATTTTTATTTTTTATTTATTTATTTTTGGCTGTGTTGGGTCTTCGTTTCTGTGCACGGGCTTTCTCTAGTTGCGGCAAGCGGGGGCCACTCTTCATCGCGGTGCGCGGGCCTCTCACTGTCGCGGTCTCTCCCGTTGCGGAGCACAGGCTCCGGACGCGCAGGCTCAGCGGCCATGGCTCACGGGCCCAGCCGCTCCACGGCATGTGGGATCTTTCCGGGCCGGGGCACGAACCCGTGTCCCCTGCATCGGCAGGCGGACTCCCAACCACTGCGCCACCAGAGAAGCCCCAGTTGTGCTTTCTTGTCTAATTTTTAAAAAATGTCTGTGGCTGTTTTTGTGCTACAGGGAGAGTTGAGTAGTTGGAACAGAGACTATATGGCCACAAAGCCTAAAATATTTACTATCTGCCCATTTACAGAAAATGTTTGCCAATCCTTGCTCAAGACTAAGAGCTGTTGAATTAGTGAAGTGTTTTTCTGTAAAGCACTGGTTCTCAAATGAGGTGGGGGTGATGTGTATCAGAATCACCTGGAGAACTTTCTCCAACTCCAAAATATAGTTTAAGCTCCAAGATTCTGCCTCCAGTTGAAAAATCACTGATAGGATTGGGTTGTATCTTTCAGTTGTATTGAGGCCAGAAAATGTTTGGAGAATTAGTGGGATAAAGAAACACTAGTTGCCTTAAGTTTAAGAGTTGCAGTGATACCGCTTTTCACAGGCCTCTGGATTACCTATTGTTTCTCAAAATATTTTTTGGTTTTTATTTTTTTAACCTTTATGGCAGCGGATAAACATAAATTTCAGAGATTCCTGACTGCTGACTCGGCTCTGGTGGTGACAGTATATGCCCCTATCACTTTTCCTCCTGCATCTGTGCTGCTTTTCAAACAGAACAGCAATGGTAAGTTGAGTTCACAGAGGTGAATAGGGCTGTGGGTTCTTAGTAAGATTAACTGCTTTCTGTATTTAAATTTGGGGGCCAAATGGCACAAAAAAGGTAATGATGATTTTCAAAATATCCCAATCTCAGCCTCATATTGGGTCTGAAGCAAGGATGACAAATGGGGTTTTATCTTGCTTGCAAACCATAGCTAATTGGTAGAGGCTGCTCAGAGGGCTGTGTTTAGGGTAGGTTCTGAGGATAGGCTCAGCAGGAATATCACTGAGTGATCTTTGCCATGAACCCAGGAGGGGCAGCATAGTACACCCCTATTTTGTTTCCCTAAGATCTCGCATAGGTCTTTAAATGGACTGGACAATAAATGAAGGCTTTGACCTATGGACTCCTGCTGCCCTGCTTTTGCCCCTTAGGAATGCACAGCCTCATTGCCACAGGCTATCTATTGTCAGTGGATCCAGACAGAATGGTCATCAAGAGAGTTGTTCTGAGTGGTCATCCTTTCAAAATTTTTACTAAGATGGCAGTGGTGCGTTACATGTTCTTCAACAGAGGTAGGTGCGACAGATGGGATCCAATTGCCTTTGTGGGATGAAGGTTGGATTTATATATTATGGATAAATGTTTCATCTTGGTCTTCTGTGTGTTTGATTCTAAGAGGATGTGCTGTGGTTTAAACCGGTGGAACTGAGAACAAAGTGGGGCCGTAGGGGACACATCAAGGAGCCTTTAGGTGAGAGAATGTGGGATTTGGGATCTTGTCTAGATTTCCCCAGTGCTACTAAATGACTGTTGGGTTAGACCACTGCTTTAAAATTTCCTCTTGAATTTGACCAACTCGTGCTGTTTTCTTTGTAGGTACTCACGGCCACATGAAGTGCAGTTTTGATGGGAAGCTAAAA